CGACAATGGCAACTTGAAAATAATTTTCATACGTAAGATGTTAAAAAATGGCAGTAAAAAAATGATAACTCGCTCGATATATCGAGGACCCACTGATATGATATGACCTAATAAACGATATTGACAACTTGAAAATAATTTTCATACGTAAGATGATAAAAAATGGCAGTAAAAAAATGATATAACGAGGATCCACTGATGCGATAGGGAAAATTATGACGAGTTTCAATTCAATTTCTTTCATAAAACTTTATATTTTCCCTTTAGTGCCATCTGGATATCATGCAAATTAGGAAAGTCCTTAAAACAGTTTACTTTAGTATCGCTTTGTTAAGTTTAATCTTTTGTATTCAAAGTCTCTTTTAACACTTCTTTCTTAAGCCGGTTTTTTTTACTCTTGAAAAGTTTTTAAACTTAAAAGTTTTATAAGTTTTTTAGATGTGGGACGCCATTTGATTAATTTTTTTTATTGAGATGATATGGTTCTAGATATATCTTTTCATTTCTTTCATGGTTATAACTGAATACAAATGGTATTTAGGATATTTAATATATAAATACATAAAATAAAGACGTTCGGTTCTTTTCATCGCATCAAAGAAGAAATAACACTTGTGAAAAATTAGAATTTTCAATGAATCTAAAGAGRACAAGAAATAATGAAGATCACTGACAAAAGATAACACATAAAGAACATTTTCAAAGTCATTGTGTGTCRATAGTTTAATTACAACACATTCTAGCACCGCCTTTTATTTCTKTTGGAAAAATTAATCTATATATAACAGTTCAAGGAGTTTATCACGTCGAGAACAAGTCYTTTCAMCAAAGCTCTTCATCTCCGAAATGCTTGCCTGATTGCAGTAACTAATATTTAAGATGTTGTATTCTCTCGGTTGGTTCTTCATCTATKTCCTTGTGGCTGCCAAACAAATTACAAGCCTTGCCTCRAATGCCTACCTAGGACCTTATGGTGGAATGTTTGTGAAATTTCCTTTTCGCTCTCTTGCTGTAAAGAGTATTTCCACCAAACGAGTGCCAAATGAGATGCATTGCTCGATGAATTGTCAACGAAATGACATATGTTTTTCGTTTAACTTTGCYGCCACCAATGATAGCGTTGGAAATTTCGTATGTGAACTCCTATCAAAAAGCCATCTTTACAAACTCAAAAACTTCAAGACCAATGACAGTTTCCATCATTTTGGTCGGAAGGTAATGGTGTTCCAATCAGTTCTTTCAACTCCAAGCTCCTTTTTAAATTTAAATTTTGTTTTCTTTTACTTTTTTAAAGGTGCTTTTCTTTTTTTCCCCTTATCTCTCAATTTCTTCTTGAGAATTAAATGTGTTATGTTAATAACTAGGAATCACTATAGAGTCAACATTTAGCCAATCAAGCACCAATTTTTTTTTTTTTTTGCTCAATTATAAATCTCAAGACATCAGATCGGAATTTAAAAATGCCTACATGTGCAGACTGATATTTTTTACTCATCTTCCTTTCTGAAAGATACAACCTTCTGAAATAACTTCTCATTATTTCTCAGCCTTTTATCCAGTTTTTCTGTCTTTCTTTTCTTTTTTCTGTCTTTCTTTGTATTGTTTTGTTTTGCGTTTTTCATCATTTTTTCTATCCTGCATGCTGACCTATACTTCCTCCGTTTGATTCCGTATATTTCACCTCCATGGAGCTAACATTAATTATTGTTTTCATATCKTTTTTCAGGACTTCTGTAGTCCAAATGTCAAGGGGTTACCGTCACCTGATAGCGATAATACCTACACATGCCCATGCAAAGAAGGTTATACCGGTTTGAGGTGTGAAACTGGTATGTATTGTTTAGATTATTCAGTTCTTACTTTGATTTTTAACTYTTTGAATTTGTTCCCACTTATAGATCTAGAATCACTATTAGAATTTCTTGGCCCTAAATTGTTACTACACTTTGAACTCCTTATTGTTCTTATTAGAGTGCTTTTTTATTTCGAAAATATAATCAATATGAAGAGAATGATARTACTGAATGCAGGCTTCAAAATTTCAGAGGAAATTGGATTTAAAAAGCTTATGCTAATTTGATGATGTCAATATTGATTATACAAAATTGTCCGATTGTTTATTTTCACATTATTGCTTTGTAGAAAATATTTTTTATGTTACCGAAAACAATCTTTCACAGTTTGACAGGGAGAAATTTAGGAGCACTCATTGCAAAACACAGTTTAAATTTGATAGAGCACATCAGATGACGTCATCAAATTAGCATAATGGATTTTTAACCTCAATTTTCTCTGAGTTTTTGATGCCTGCGTCGAGTGGTAATTAGCCAAGCTGTTATTCTTTTTCTGTATTGACTCTGTTTTTCAAATAGAAAAATTCGCTTCATWAACACTTAAAACTATGTAGCTTTTATTCTTTTTCGATATGTTTTATCCCGAAATATTAAACTATATACTTCAATAAGACGTTCTAAGAAAGTATTTGTAAGTTCCAAGATTATTATTTCGAATCTATGATTTGGGGTAAACTCGCTTATACTCCCAGATGAAAATAAACTTCGTAAAACATTTTTATTTTATTTTTATTTTAATTTAATAATTCTCTTTTACGTAACTCAGAATTGAAACTTATTTGTAACTAGATATTGATGAATGCGCCAGCAGTCCTTGTGTTCATGGCAAGTGCAAAGATATGGTGAATGCCTATAAATGCAACTGTAACCCGGGATATACTGGAGTAAATTGCGAGACAGGTGGGYAATCAATACAGTACTTACTGTAACACTTARCACCTGTGGGAAGGGGAGGGGGGAGAGTCCCCCCTAACATTAGTCCCGTCCCTACCTCTAGCAATGATGTTCAAGTTAACCTTAGCACACTGTTCTCGCTTTAGATATCAACGAATGCCAAAGTAACCCGTGTGTCAAYGGTACTTGTGAAGACAAAGTGAATTCCTACAAATGTAATTGCATACCAGGTTTTACCGGCACGAACTGCGAACAGGGTAAGGTTCTGAAAAGACTTCAACACGTGAAGATAAAATTAATATCTCCAAGCGAATTGAACATATTCTATTCTGTTTACAATATAATTATAGTATATGAAAGCAATTTTTTTACCTCCAATATACACCTAATTGCACAAACGATGTCCAAAAAAAAAAGAACTTTTAGTATTTAGGAATTAATTAAAAAAACAAAAGAAAGTGTTCGACTTCAGTGGTCATGCTTTGTCTTTTAATGTATTCCTAATTTCCTAAATCCTTAAATCTCAGGACAACGTTTTCGTAATCAGGTGTATATAGAAACCTCGAATGTGTTATTTTCACTAAGTAACATGTTGTTTTCGGAGAAATATAGGTATTTCATAAATAATTATATGATAAAAATAAATATTTCATAGATAATTTAATRATAAATATAAGTATTTCATAGATAATGATATGATAAATGGTGATATTGATGTTTCATCCATCATTTAGACATTGACGAGTGTTCAAGCAATCCATGCAAAAATGCCGGAATCTGTTCTAACCTAGTAGATGCATACAATTGCACATGTGCATCSAGATACCATGGTACCAACTGCGAGAATAGTAAGACATCACTAAACTTCAAGAAATTCTTCACTTTTTCCTATGCCATCTTGAGAGGTAGTCGTGTCTTTTTATCTTTTTATCAAAGCGAGTCGGCCGTTGAGCGTGCAATTATAGATGCTAGTGACTAATGTTTAATGAGGGTGTGAAAGAAAGTTTTTACATTTGCACGCACAACTTTTACATTTGCACGCACAACAGTCGTCTCGTTTCGAAGCAATTACAAACGGCTATATAACCTCTAAGATGCCGCAGGGAACCGTGAAAGAGACTATATTACGACTGAATAAGTCAATGATTTGATGTATTAATTTGAATTATCTTGATAGAATTAGGACCATGTGACGTTAACCCATGCGCAAATGGTGGAACGTGTACCGAGTTGTCAGACGAAAACTTCGAATGTGCTTGTTTGCCCGGCTACTACTGGTCTAAGTGCCGATTTCGTAAGTAATTATTTGATGGTCCGTTGTCAACTTTTTGAAATTCATTACCAAAAATATCGTCCTAAATTTAGTAAATATGCCAAAAAATGCAATGCCTTTAATAGAGAAGATTCAGGCTCTGCATACTTAGAAATTCTAGTAAGGAAAGTGTGTGAGTTTTAGTCCCAGTAAAAGCAATGATATATTTTAATAATTTTATTAATCGAAAATGGTTAACACTTACCTCCCCTCCTGCCCTGCTGGTTTCTGATCTTGTGAACCGAAAACGTAAAAATCTGGAAAAAAGGAATTTTCTTAGAATTTGATTGGTTCTTGAAATAAAAAAAAGAAAACATTTTACTGTTTAATCTTAAACACTTACTTAGATATTTGCTTAAAAAGGATTTATTAAGTCAGTTGAGACCGGAAGTCAATCTCGTACCCAGAGCCCGCACTTTTGCCATCCAGCGGAAGTCAATGCGTGATAGACTCTGGAGGAAACAATTTTTTCTCGATTCGTGATTGATTGAAAATGACGCGAGCGCGCATTGTTTTCAAATCGATTTTTCAAGTCGCCAGCGCGCGCTTGCCTGTTTGATCAAAAATATCATACTTTTATCGCATAAACACACATGTTTTCACACATTTGTGTTTTTGAAAAGGTGTCAATGCCGTTCCTAAACTAAGTTGTGTGCTAAACCTTCTTTTTTATCATTTTAATGCTCTAAAAGCGGAAAACAAAATTGACCTCATTTGCATAATTTGCGACGGAAAAGCGTCGCAAATCCAGTCGATTCCTCCAGAGTCTTTCCGGCGTCAGCATACCGCTGACTTTAGCCGTGAAGACTCTGGGCTCGAGATTGACCGGAAGTCTGAAATCAGAAGTGAAAAATTCCGTTATCCCAGAGTATTATGTTTGTCAACGGCGCTGACCAAGAAAAACGAAGGCTCGTGGTACGAAATTGATAAGTTCCATATATGGTATACACTATATGTATATGTATCATTTATTTAAATTTATCTATTTGTTTATTGATTTATTGGGAAAGATGCCTACGCCTCAAATGATTATAAAACTGCGGATGATGCCGACAAMGATTGCAAGARCCGGGGAATGGMACTCGCCATGATATTCCAAAGCTCAGTTAATAAAMTACTAAAAGGTCTGCACCAATCAGATTTCTGGATTGGTCTGAAAAAAGTTAACGGCSKTTGGAAATGGCCYAACGGAACMGARCTGGATGAGAATGTTTACAGCAAATGGAATTCTCAAATAGGTTCAAACAATTGCGTTAAGATGGAYCCAAGTAATGGAAAATGGAAATCAGATCCTTGCACCAACTCTCGCCCATTTGTCTGCACATCTTATRAAGCATGATTATAAATTGATTGTATCCTTTGGACTATGGACGSMATATTTATTAYGTTTTCCTCTGTAGCATCTCAACCARCGCGCGGCAAGATGCGCACTGGGAATGGCAGTTTCGGGCTATCTTCCTTTCATTGTACTTTTCTTAAGGCTCAAGCATGTTACAAATATACCTGTAAAATAGAGCAAAGTGTACGAGCACTGATGACGTTCTCAAAAAAAAAAAAAGATTATAAAGCTAGACGGTAGCACTTGGATTCATTTATTTTTATTAAATAGATGATGCACATGCATCTGAATTCAGATATCTATATAGAGACAGACAGCAAACGCATAAGTTTGTTTGTATTTGTGATGATTTTATGTTTTTTTTTTTAATTTGCACTGAAGAAGATCTGAGACCAGATCGAAACGTCTGATATTAAAAAAAAAATAAATAAATAAGCTAGAGACAACTAGATATTTATACTAAGTTTGTTTGTATTTGTGATATGATTTTCTGACTTCGTTACTTCATCTCATGTGCACTGTTGCATGGTTTAACTATTGTAATATATATGTATATGTAATCAAGGTCATGCAATTAAATCGCATTCTAAAGGTTCTTCGCTTTCTTTTCATTACAAATACTCGATGCCGGTGCAAATATGTGCCTTTTCAACATTTTTTTTAAAGAAAGTGTCTTTTGTGGAGCGCATTTGCTTTGGGAAGTAATTCTACAAAGAATTTAATAAACAATGTCTCATGTAAGTGCGACCATTGTTTAATTGGAGTTTSAAGAAGCCGGGGCACTTGTTCTTCCTGCCCTGGAGGTCTGTCGACACAAATTCTCTTTTTTTACTCCATCGAAAACAATTACCATTACAAAAACCATTACATCAAACGTCCCATTTCTGTCAAAAAGGTAGCACTAAAATTATACAAGACTATTTCAAGCAAAGATAATAAGAAGGAAGGAATATCGGAAATATAATATGGAAATAACACGATCCAACTTTTTGCAGGTGATAGGAAAATACAAGTTAATTATTGTTTGACCACAGCGAAGTCCAAAACAATTTATATGCTGTTTCTATGAGAACATTTCAATTAACTAATAGGTATCCAAGAAGTTTCTCGTATTTATTAAGGAAGAATCGCGCGGTAAGATCTTTACTTGGGAATATGTTGTCTGACTTCAGGAAATAACATGGAGATGCTTTATCTTCTCGAGTGCATCGTTATTTATATAATTATAACTGATAGACAGTCTACAGTTGTTGCCTCGAATGCTGGATTTACAGGACCTTACGGTGGTTTCTTTGTGAAATTTCCCTTCAATTCGCTTGCAGTAGGACGAATCGCTACCAAGAGAGTCTAGGACGAATCGCTACCAAGAGAGTCTCCAATGAAATGCATTGCTCTATGAATTGCCAACGGAATGGCAACTGCTTTTCGTTTAACTTTGGCGCTACAAATGATAGCGTTGGAAACTTCCTGTGTGAACTCCTCGCAACAAAGCATTCTTACAAACATAAAAACTTCAAGACCAATGACAGCTTCCATCATTTCAGCTGGAAGGTAA